GGCTGCCGATGGCACCCGCGGCCGCTGCAATCGATTCATGCGCCGCCAATCCCGAAATATGATTTCGATTGATGAATGCAAAAAATGTCGCGGAACGTCTGGATGCGCCGACGGCGCCGGGCGCGCTGCCGCGATCCTGCAGTTCGGAAATGCAGAGGTCGCTCGCGTCACCACGAGCGACTGTGCATGAGGTTGCGGTGGAAGAGGCGGTCGTGGAAATCGTAGTAGCGGTCGAGGCTCCTCGCGCGCTCGACCTGGGGAAAGAGGTAGATGCTGTCGTCGCCGCGGTAGCAGTCGAGGTTCCTCGCGCGCTCGATGACGGCGCAGTAGGCGGAGTAGTGGTTGGGGAGATGTAGTCGTCAGCATGTCGGTCGACTCTCCTCGCGCGCACGAGCTGCAAATCGCGAGCGGAGAAGGCGCAGTGGTTGCGAAGCGATCGGCGCCCAAGGGGCGGACGTGCAGGTAGGCGCCGCACGATGTTCATGTCGCAAACCTGAAGGTGGCCTCCGCTGCGCATGTAGACGGAATTGCACGTCGTCGCGCTCATTTGGACGCCCGAAATGGGCGCGGAAAGAGTGGGTGCACTGCCCAACGACAAATGTTGTCCCAGACCAACGGCGGCCGCTGTTGGGCAGGCGGCCTTCTGTCTCGAATGGGCGCAGGCCGCGGCGGCGTGGACAGCGAATCCTGTTCAAAATTACCCCAGTGCGACCCTGCCTAGAAGTAGGAGCCCCTAGGAAAGCAGCATTAGTTGCTATGCTCGGCTATGCTATGCTGTACCATGCTATGCTGCGCTGTACTATAGTTTGCTATGCCATGTTATGCTGCGCTATGATATGATGTGACATGATATGATATGCTAAGCTATGTTATGTCATGCTGCGCTGTGCTATGCTAAGCTATGCTATGATATGTCGTGCTAAGCTATGCTATGCTATGTCATTGTATACAATGCAATGCAATGCAATGCAATGCGATGCTGCGCTGTGCTATGCTGTGCCGCGGTGTGCTGCGCTATGTTATGCTGTGTTATGCTGCGCTATGCTATGCTATGCAAGGGTTTTTCTATGATATGCTGTGCTGCGCTATGCTATGCTACGCTATGCTATAAGATAAACCTGAGCTAAGATGAAGTTAAGCTAAGCTAAGATGAGATCAGCTAAGCTAAGATGAGTTAAGCAACGCTAAGCAAAAGGACGTAACTGGGGGAACCGCGGGGCGGATCCTGGGGGAACCGCCCGGGGCGGGGAACACTGCCCGGCCCCTTTAAAACAGAGAGTAAGAACCCTCTAGGCAGAGCCTAGGTAGGGAATGAACAGGAACTGCTGTTGGGCATTGTGCCCATTCTTTCCGTACCCATTTCGGGCGTCCAGAACTCAGGGTCGAGGCGAGCAGACCTGCCGCGACTGCGACGGCTCCGCTACCAAGTTTGAAGCAACAGAGACACGCCATGTCTGTATAGAGACGGAAGACACTCGCGCGAAAAAGGATGGGGACGGGAGGTGAACAAGGGCCCTTTTTCACTTCCGGCGCCACAGACCGAATGCAGTCGGCGCCGCCAACACTGGCAGATTGAGCGACGCTGCCTTCGAGCCAGGACGGCAGCATAATAGGCAAGCATGCTACGTTCCCCCTTTTGGGACATTCCCTCAAAGTCGGGGTGCGCCGAGACGGGGCCAGCTACCATGCGGAAGCAGCCACTGAAACCGTCGGTGGCGAAATGGGCCTAAAAACTTTAGATGCGCCTTCCCTTGTTGATTTATCAAAGAGTGGCCCTGCGTGACTGATTGTTCTTGGCCCTTCTGCGAACATCCCCTGTGGCTTCGGCCGATGCCGCCGGCCAACCGGAAAGCTGCTCGAGAACCAATTGCAAAGGATCTACATGCTCCACATGGCTCCATGTTGGTCCAAAATTGTTTTCAAGACGGCCGAGATGGCCTACATGTTCGCCCAAAACGGCCTATTCGTAGCCTACCAGTATGGTCCCCGACGGCCCAAGAGGGTCCAAGATGCGCCCAAGTCCGCCCAAGAAGCTTCCAAAACGGTCCAAAAGGCCCCCCCGAGGCCTCCGAGACGGCTCAAGAGGCCTCCAAGAGAGGTCCTCCGGCAAGGCCCGAAGAGGCCCAAATTATTGATTTCCTCTATTTGTTTGAAAGATTGTGTCCTTTGCTTCTTTTCGGCCACCAGTATCCGCGTCAGAGCAGCCATTGACGCCAGCGGGCGCATGCCGCATGGCGACCACGACGCTGACCGCTTCGCAGGGGCGGCCCTCCTGTTCGACATCCGACTTAGAATCATCTCGGCGAGACCAGACGGCGGCGACGCCGGCGGCAGCGCCTCCCACCAGGGCAGATCAAGCACCCACGGGGGCGCCGCGCCAGAGAAGACGGGCCCTTCCAGCGAAGGAGCGCCACACAACTGTCAACCCCCAGCAGGTGGTGAATCTGGCGTGACCGCCCACGTCGACGATGGCCTTTGAGTCAAGGGCCGCGTACTCCCAGCTGTGGATGTTCACGTCCTTGATCTTACAACCGTTCGAAACGGTCGAAGTACTCCCTCTCGGGCTCGACCTGCTCGAGCCGCTGCTGGAGTACGCGGGATCTGGCCCCTTCGCCGCGACGTAGCTCGATCTACAGGCTCGAGAGGTCGCCCCAAGATGGCCCCAAAGGCTTCCAAAATGAACCCATGACGCCCCGAAAAGCCTCCAAGACGGCCCCAACAGAGCCTCAAGACAGCCTAAGAGGCTTCCAAGACGCCCAAGACAGCATCCGAGACGGCCCTGAAGCGCCCCAAGACGGCCCCAAGTCGATTCAGAGAGGCATCCAACACGACATCCGACAGCGTCAGACTGGCCAGAAACGTCCTAAGACGACCCAAGAGGCCCCCAATAATCCCCAACGGCCCTCTAAGAGGCCCGAGTAGGCTTCCAATGGCCCTCCAAAAGGCCCGCATGAAACTCCCAGGAGGCTCCAAGTGTCCTCCTCCTCCTCAGCAGTCTCATCCGCCTCCTCTTCCTGCTCCTCATCCTCCTCTATATTTGTCGTCCCTGTCCTCCGCTTCTTCTTTCTCCTCCGCGTGTTCCCCGAAAGGCTTACACAACGGCTGGGGGGAACGAATGGCCCGATAGCTTGGCAGAGCTCAAGCCACAACGTTCGGACACATGGGCGATGGGAAAAAAACAGGGGCGGCGGCGATTCGCCGCAAGCGTCTTCGATAGCTTACAAAACATATATCACACCATATATCTATATGTATGAATATATATTACACCGCGTAGCGCTCACCCCACGGTGTACATCGTAAAGGTATTACCACCAAGTTCCCATAACATAGCTTATACCACACAACGTTCACAACGTAGCTTTGACCACATACTGTAAACAACCTAGTTTCCACCGCATGCTCAGAGCGCATAGCTTACACCGTGTAGCTATCACGTCCAAGTTCAACACCTCCACGTGTGGGGTCCCCAATGGCTGAATGTTGTTTATGTGGAACGGGCATGTTAGCTCATCTTGGTGTCCACGCCTTAGTCGCCGAGCCTTTTAGAGACCACTAAATATCGCAAGTGCTGCCGAACGAATACGGCGCCCTCAAGTGAAGCGGCTGGTCCGCGCAGATCTGCTGAAGAACTCCCAACAGCGTAGCTCGATAACAGGGCGCGGTGTGGCGTGGCTCAACTTGCCCATGCCGCACTAGGTCCCTAATTGCAAGGGCGAGGAGCGGGCCAAGCCCAAAGACTGGGGACTCTGCAGGAGTTCTGCTCATCGTCAGCCATCTGCTGTGAGATGGCTGGCTCTATGATCATACTGCAAGTATTCTCGGGCCTGTTGAATCTCTGTCCGTCTTTGTGACGGTACGCCTCAATCAGCTGATTTTACGTACCGAGCTACTTCGAATTCTCGTAGCTGTCGAGCCGAACTGCCTGAGTCACATTTGCGGCGCCTCGAGCCTATCGCCCCCTGCACCCAGGCGGTCGTCTGCACGGACAGGCCCGACGGCAATTCTGATGGGGTCACCTGTGCACCTGCTGACCGCCAATGTGCCCTCCGCTCGGTGGCGCTCCGGGGTGCTTGAGACCCCGAAGGAGCCCCTTTGGGCTGGTGAGCTGCGCCATCAAATCGTCCAACATGTCGCGTTAGTCCAGAGGCGAGATCAAGAGTTCAGTGTTCGGAATGTTCAGCAAAAGACTGCAGTGCCTTTCATCTTGAGCCTTCCATTCCTCTCCTCCAGCACAACTGGTGACGGCAACCACGTGTTACTAGGAGCGCAGTGCAGACGGCCTTCGTTTCTTGAGCTATGGCCTTCGGGCCAAAGATCTGAACCCTGGCCTGGTGGCGCAGACAGCTGTGCCTGAACATTGCCTCAAAAGCCTGCGTACCCGTTGCGTTAGCACAAACCTGCGGTCTGTGATTCACTGGACACCATCCGCGCGTAATGTGAAAACGTTGTGCCGCGCGGGGCCAAGGGGCAAAGATGCCACATGATGTGATGCCTGTTGCTCTCGCTCGCCCGCACATTCCCTCCTGATCGCGGGCTGTCTTGCACAAAGCCTCATGCAAGAGCACGGCTCGAGCGGAATCTCGATTCGGGACGAGCAGGATGCAGCCACGCACACAACGTCAGGCAAGATCTGGGCTTGCCTGCGGGGGGTAACTCCCTCTGAAAGCTTCCCCTGCGCTACGGTGGGGTGCACAGAAAGGGGGCGAGGGGCATCCACCAGAACCGATGGCTATTCCTCGAACCTCTTCCTTATCAGCTTGTTTTGGTCATGCTTGCACTCGTCCTCGTCGGCGACGGCCTACTAAGCATCACCCCCCCCCCCTCGACACCCTCCTTGCCATCCTCCTCTCTCGTCCTTCCCTACATCATCCCCCTTCACTTCGTCTTGTCCTTCTCTCCCCTCACATCCTCCACCTCATCAAACCCCTCCGTAAAATCAAGGTCTCGATGTGATTTGGTGTGGGTGGCGCAAAAGGAAGAACATTGGTGCGCGCAGCCTGACAGCGGCGAGGGCAACCTCTTTGTCTTTCCTAATCTCCTCGCAAGCAAAACACTGGTGGCTCGCCACACTAACCAGGACGAACATGAGGACAAGGATGCGGAGAAGGAGGAGCAGAACCTCACAACCATCCGCCTTCCTTCCGATCTTGATTCCTTCCTCCGTCATCCATCGTCCACCATGATCGCCTCATACCCCTCAGCTGAGCAATGACAACTGATTTCGAATATCGCTTTGCACACCGTGAGCACGCGTCGTTCTCTAAACGCGTCGGGGTGCCTTGTCCATAAGCAAGAACCATGCGAGGACGTGGCCGAGAGAAGTACATGATTAAGTTCCCTCCGCCACCCTCACCCCTTGTGCTCAGCTCTTCTCAAGCCCGGGGTAAGAATTCGGATGGAGCATCATTCGACGACGAATCCTGCAAGCTCCACGGCTGTTCGGTGGCCAATTGCGGAGCAGTCATATTGGCGCCCCACAGCCTTCGACGGTTATCGCCTGGGAAGGTTTCTCGAGCGACGGCATGGCCTCAGATGTTCTTGCACGATGGTGGCACGCGGAGAGAGAGAGAGAGAGAGAGAGAGGCCCAAGTTCAATCCTGACCGCAGATGGCCAACGCATGGGCGTTCACATTCACCGCCTGTGCAGCGCAGCGCAGCGCATCGCAACCCATGAACCGAGGAAGCGAATACTCGAGCTTATATACACATGTGTCAACCTTGCGAAAATCTAGAATGGTCCTGTCCGTAACGGCAGGCTCTTTCACCGTACGTGCAGTCGCACCTAGGACAATCGAATATCCCTCAAGACCATGGGACCCTCCGCTGGCCCAACTGAAAAGCATTCCAGGGTACCCTCCCGCAGGATGCACCATGTTATCGAACACACGCAAAGAACATTAGGGCACCCTGCCCGAGCCGACCTCGATCTTACACCTCGGTCCGACTGCACACGCATCCATCACCCTTTCCTGCTGAGGCGGGCAATTTCGCATGGGCGGTTTGCGCACGACCAAGTTGCACGCGTCAACTTTGAATGGGAACATGGGCCATGGGAAAAAAACGGAAAGGAGCTGTAATCAAAGCGCGATTGCACAAATGTCGCAAACAACTGGCGATTTCTCCTGCGAGCGCAAGGATTCCGCAAACAGCCATGCCTTCCCGAGGCGCCCCTTCTTGGAATAGCCTGGTGCGACCCTCTGACACTTGGCTTCTTCGCCACATCCTTCGGTGGAACATCCTCCCTTTTGGTGGCATATTGGAGCCCCAGCGGTACCGAACCTGCTGATTTGTTTGGTTATCTCACCCATGGTAAAAATCAACAAAGACCGAAGCCCGCCCCTGATGCCACGAACACAATGGCGAAGGCCGGGCAATGAACCCAGCAAGAACTCCGCCACGGAACCATCACCCTCAAACGTTTGCGGGCATGCAGAGGCTACCGCTGCCATTCCTGAGGCCTCAATTCGGAAGGCGATGATGAAACGTAGAACAAGCATGGTTCGGCCGTCCCACCTGTCAGAAATAACGGGTTGCTCATCCTGTCGGATGATCGAACCTCGATCACCCTTCCCTGGTTGCTTGAAGCTCCCCTGGCCCTTGCAGCAAAGAGTGCGCATGAAACTGATATGGCATTGATCTCATCTGGGGTCAGAACATCAATTTGGGGATGGCCTGGCGCTACGAGTCATAGCGACGCGGCGCCTCTCGGGCGTTCGCACGCTGCGCGAATCGTACGATGCGGCGAGAAGCTGAACTGACCCTGCCACACCAGAACGAGAACCAGAAAATGGTGACACACCGTCCGCCCATGCACTGTAGAGCAGAAAGTTGAGAAGGGATGATCCAAACTTTGGGCGCTGGAGCCGGCTATATGCGATTGCACCTATCACCCCTAATCTCGTCCCATCCTCTCCCCTCCCCAGTTCGCCTCTTTCCACTGGGCCATTGAGAAACTATTGCTGAAACGCATTGTCGCATGCATCGGCGAGCGCTCCGTAATAATTTCAGCCTGGCGTAGGACCCAGCCATGTGCAGTTGTGGGCACCGTCGTTGTGTGCACCGCGTTGGGTGGAGTTCCCTCTAGGGCCACGAAACGTGTGAAGGAAGTGTCAACATGGGCGCGGTGGGCGCATGCGAACGCTGGCATTCGGTGGAGTTCCTAATGGCGCCACGAAGTGTGTGCGGGGTGCGCCAGAGGGGGGCGGTGGGCGAGTGCGAACGCACGCATTTGGGACTCCGGTGGGGCTCCTTATGGGGCCACGAAACGTGCGAGGGGTGTGCCGATATGGGCGCGGTGGGCGCATGCGGGCGCTGGCATTTGGGTAATCGGTGGAGCTCCTCATGGGGCCACGAAGCGTGTGCTGGGTGTGCCAAAATGACACGGTGGGTTTGCGCGAGCGCCGGCAGTTGTGCCTTCGGCGGGGCTCCTTATGTGGCCACGATTCGTTTGAGGGGGGGGGGCCCAAATTGGTGCGGCCGGCGCGCGCGCACGCTAGCAGTTAAGCCTCCAGTGGGGCTCCCTCTGGGGCCACAAAACGTGTGAATGATGTACCAAAAGGGGCGCGGTGGGCGCATGCGGGCGCTGGCACATCGGCCTTCGGTGGAGCCCCCAATGGGGCCACGAAGCCTGTGCGGGGTGTGCCAAAACAGGCGCGGTGGGCGCATGCGAACGCTGGCATGTGGACGTTCGGTGGAGCACCCTTATTGGGCCACGAAGCGTGTGAGGGGTGTGCCAAAGCGCGGCGGGCGCGCGCGAACGCTGGCAATTGAGCCTTCGGTTGGGCTCCTCTTGGGGCCACGAACCGTGTGCGGGGTGTGCCGCAATAGTTGCGGTGGGCGCATGCGAACGTTGGCATTTGGGCCTTCGGTGGAGCTCCATATGGGGCCACGAAACGTGTGCGGAGTGTGCCAAAATGGGCGCGGAGGGCGCGCGCGAACGCTGGCAGTTGGGCCTTCGGTGGAGCTCCCTGTGGGGCCACGAAGCGTGCGCGGGGTGTGCCACAATAGTTTCGGTGGGGGAATGCGAACGTTGGCATTTGGGCCATCGGTGGAGCTCCACATGGGGTAAAGAAACGTGTGCGGGGTGTGCCAGAGCTGGCGCGGTGGGCGCATGCGAGTGCTGGCAGTTGGGCCTTCGGTGGAGCTCCCTGTGGGGCCACGAAGCGTGTGAGGAGTGTGCCAAAGTGGGCGCGGTGGGCCCATGCGAACGCTCGCATTTGGGCCTTCGGTGGGGCTCCCTCTGGGGCCACGAAACGTGTGAGAAGTGTGCCAAAGTTGGTGCGGCGGGCGCATGCGAGCGATGGCGTTTGGGCCTGTGGTGGAGCTCCCCTGTGGGGCCACGAAACGTATGGGAGGTGTTCCCAAATTGGTGCAGTGGGCCTTCGGTGGAGCTCCCTATGGGGCCACGAAGCGTGTGAGGTGTGTGCCGAAACAGACATGCGGAGGGCAGAGGCAAGGGTCGGAAGAGAGAGGAGGAGGGAGGATGAAGGAAGGACGCGCGGGGCGCTGTCTCCTCAAAACGAGGGCCCAACACCACAGGATCTTTGGGAAAACAAGGAGCTGGCTCTGGCCATGTGCAGGAGACTTGCTGTCGTGAAAATGGCCTCTGGAGGGATGTGTCCACTGCAGGTCGCTCAACTGTAATCGGCACGGCTGTGAACTACGCGCAGGCTCGTGTACTTTCCACCGTCCCAGGTTCGTCTGACGAAAGCCTTTTATCGAGCTGGCGATCTCAGAATGCTCACTGGCGAGAACTTGCACCAGGTGGCCATGAACGGAAGAGCAAGGAGAAACTAGCCAGTCAAGCTGGGCTGAGGGACCACGCCTCGAGGATGAAGTCTCTCTTTGTGCGGAGGTCCTCGCACCACGCTCGCGGCCAAAAGGGATGTGGGTCGTGGTGCGCTGGCGCCTCTTCAACATTTGCTGCCCTGCGCTCGTCACCTTAGCCCTTCATGTGTCAGCGCCGTTCCCTTCCACCCCCTCCCACACGCAAGCGATTCTGCGCCTTCGGTATACACCTCCACATGTGCCGTCCTCGTCGTCCCGCCTCTACTTTCAATAGTGTCACAAAGGTCATAACATCTAGAACTCATGCCGGCCTGCTATATACCAACTACCAGGGCATCTGCCCGAATATGGGATTGGATTTGCTCTCCTTCCACCATCTTTCCTGCTGCTGCTGCTCCTCATCCCCATCCTCCTCATCAAACAGATTTTGGACCTTGCGACCCCGTGCGCAATACGCACCTGTGTGTCCGTCTCCGTCTGATCTGTTCCCAGCCTCGATTTCAATTCCATTATCAAGTTCCCGTGCGCCTTCCATCTCCAGGGAAGCGCCCCGCCCAATATACTCCCTCCTTTTCCCTCCTTGTTCCAGCCTCCGGCCCCCCCACCCACGTGCTCCTGTTTCAGCCTCCCCTCTCGTCCCTCCCCCTTTTCCTAGCCCCGCAGCGCCCGTCCCTGCCAACCCCCTTCCCCCCTCCCTGCAACCCTCCTTGTCAGCCTGTCGATGTTTTCGTGTCTCTGGCTCGTTCTCTCGTCTCGCCCTCTTTATCCCGCCCTCTCTCTCTCTCTCACTCAAATTATAAACACATATATGTCTCTCTCTCTCTCTTTCTCGAGTCTCGGCTCGAGAGCTTTGCTCTGAGCGAGCTCAGACGGCAAGCGCCCCGCATCCATTATTGCCTCGCGAGACCAGGCACGGCCCATTCCAGGCCGTGGCAGATTGGTGTCGCGTTCCTTCGGCGCATGCGCGCGCCATGGCTCCCAAGGGTCTTCGCCGCACGCGTTCCGTAACCACCAGGCAAGGGCCGCCAAAAGGGTGGCCTTGCCGGATATCAACCTGTCCCGCGATGATGCTGGCGTCGCCACAGTGCAGAGCAGTGGTGGCGTCGGCCGAGCAGTCACTACATCCAACGAGCTGGCTCGAAAGCATACAGCCGAATTCACATCGCTAACCAACAACATCGCCCCAACCAGCTTCATCTGAGGAGCGAGCTAGTAAAACTGTGTGGAGCATCAATGATCAGCTACACCATGCATGCTGCGTTGCTCCTCGACGCACAAAACGGGCCCCAATCGTGACCCACCAGGGTCCACGGCCAGGGCCGATATCCACCAAGGTCTGGACACCGCCTCATTCATCAGCCTCGATGTTCAAAACTGGGATGCGGCCATGGCCCGAGCGCCCGTCAGGGCGGCGGAGAGCACACCATACACCAGCAGCATCTCTCCACACACGCTAGAGGTAGGACACCACCTCCTGCAGCACATGCGCCTGCAGGACAAGCTCCTTGCCATAGCTGTCCTGGATCCCATGAACACCGGCTACCCAAGAAACGAACTCCACATCCCCAACCCCATAGGACAGCAAGGCTACCAAGCCCACGCCGGGCCACATCCAAGGAACGGTGCACCAATTGGGCCGCACTGAAATCGAATGCCTTCAGAATGTGTCCCAAAGGGCACTGGACCCCGCGGACAACTTGATTTGGACTCACAAGACCATTTGTGAAACGGACGCCTTTGCCGTTACGCCGTCCCTCCAAGATATCTTCACACCTTAGGTCTGGGGGCAGTGTCAATCAAAGGCGCGTGGTTAGCAGAAGGAACAGGCACGGCCCAATCTAGGGCCAAGGAGCGTCACATGGCAGCCTAGCGTGACCAATCATGCAAACAACTTGACGACGACCCCATCGGCGCCTTCACAGCCACTTTTACCTCCAACGTTTGCACGGTCCCCATCCAAGAACCCATGAAACTGGGAGAACGTCACGGCACCGTGACAAACAAACGGAGACTGACCGCTACGTTCGGCATCAGGTCAACTGCGGGCTCGACAGTCCTCTGCCTCAAAGCAAGGAGGTGCCCAATTCCACATCAACGGTCACGGCACGAAAGGACCTGCACCAAACGAGTACGTCGCTGTGTGGTATCAGAACGGCAACTAGGCCATGCTCCACGAGAACCATCAAACATCTCAAAAGTTAAAGGCCTTCGAAGCCTTCCGTGCCGTTAAGAGTGTTGGTACCCGAGTCAAGCCGAACACGAAAGAAACCACAACCGTCGCCATCGGACCCAGACAAACCGACGTGGCACTAGCTAACACGGCTTTGGGAACAAGGGGGCCTGGTGGATGGAAGGGTTTGTAACTCTGCACCTTCTCGCATATTTATAGATATCTTCCTAACATGTATGTATATGTGTATCTGTGGATGTACAAACGTACATATATACGCATATCTATACGACCACCCTTCGGTTGAGAAGGAGGTTCGGGTGGGGGGGAGGAACCAACGTCTCACTCGATCGGTCTCACGATCGATATGACTATCGGTTTCACTCTCGGCCTCGCTCGATCGATCTCACTCGATTGATCTCACAATCGGCATCACTCGAGTTATTGCATGAGATCGGTCTCACAATCGATACGACTATCGATCTCGCAATCGATATCACTATCGATCTCACTATCGGTCGCACAATATATCTCACATTCGGTCTCACGATCGATACCACGATCGATATCACAACCGATATCACAATCAACGCCATCACCACCGTCATCATCGGCATCATCGCCATCAACGTCATCAACATCATCATCACCACTGGGAGACCATCACCATCATCACCTCATCACCATCATCATCAAAATCACCATCACCATCACCATCACCGGGACACCATCATCGTCACCATCATCATCATCACCAACATCATCACCATCGGGACACCGTCATCATCACCGGAAGACCACCATCATCATCATATCACCACCATCATGAACAACATCGTCAACATCATCATCATCATCATCATCGGAACATCATGACCATCACAAACCGCATCATCATCACCATCAACATCATCGGGACACCATCATCATCGTGACCATCATCGTCACAATGATCATCATCATCGGGACACCATCATCAACAACATCAGCATCATCTGCATCGGGCAACCATCGTCAAAATGATCATCACCTCATCATCATTCGCATCGTCAACATCAGCAACATCACCATTATCAACCACGACCATCGCCATCATCACCAACATCATCATCATCATCAGGACACCATCCTCACCATCAAACTCATCATCATCAACAGCATCAGCATCAACCTCACCATCATCACCGGGACCCCATCATCAGCATCATCTTCATCATCACCATCGCATCATCTCACCATCACCAACATCATCAGGACCATCAACATCATCATCATCATCATCATCATCATCAGCATCATCGGGACACCATCATCATCAGCATCAACAGCATCATCAACATCATCATCGGGACACCAGCATCATCCCCACCATGGCCTTCATCATCATCAAACACCATCACCACTATCATTGGGACACCATGATTGTCACCATCACCGTCATCAACAACATCATCATCGGGACACCATCACCATCATCGGAAAACCATCATCATAATCATCTCATCATCATCACCAGCAACATCATCAACATCATCATCACCAACATCATCGGGACACCATTATCACCATCAACAACATCATCATCAACATCATCATCACCGGGATATCATCATCATCGTCACAATCCGCATCATCACCACCATCATCGGGGAACCATGATCGTCATCAACATCAGAATCATCATCATTGGGCCACCACCATCAAACTCATCATCATCACCTCATCATCGTCCTCATCATCACCATCATCCTCATCGGGACACCATCATCGAGATCATCATCATCAACATCATCATCATCATCACCACCAGGACTTCATCATCATCAGCACCATCATCAGCATCAACAGCATCATCATCAACCTCATCATCATCGGGACACTATCATCATCATCATCATCGTCACCATCATCATCATCAGCATGTCATCATCATCAACAACATCTAGATCATCAACATCTTCGTCATCATCACCAGGGCACCATCATCATCACCAACAACATCAGCATTACCAACATCATCATCATCGGGACACCATCATCATCACCACCATTACCATTATCATCATCATCATCATCATCATCATCATCATCATCATCATCATCAACATCGTCATCAACATCAACATCATCATCGGGACACCGACGGGACACCGGCGGGACACCGCGGGGCACCGGTTGCCGGAACGGAGACTTTTGGTCCGGCCGCACCCGAGCCAGAGGCGGGACATTTTTCGCCCGCCCACGCAGCTTCGCCTCGCCCGCACGCACGGCACGCACGAACACGAAACCGAAACCGATTTCCCGGTAGGGGGGCTCTCCGTTCCGCTTCGATCGCACCCCCTCACCTCCGATACATACACATATGGATGGATATATGTGAATAAATAAATAAATAAATAAATATATATATATATATATATATATATATATATACATATATACCTATATATATGTCCCTCTCTCTCTCTCGCTCTCATGCATCACCCCGTGTTCCTCCTCCTCCTCCTCCTCCTTCCTCCTCCTCCTCCTCCTCCTCATCCTGCTCCTACAGGGCCGTGGACAACAGCAATCAAACAAATCAAACAACCATAACACCCACATGACCAAACGCAACAACATTACACGCAATTCTCTTTTATAGTGCAGACTGCAAGACCAATCCCTCATCCGCATTGCGTGTATTGGTGTTGTTTGAGTTTGCGTGTTCGGATGTTTGTTGCTTGTCGTTTTTGATGTTGCGTCCCCCTCTCATCCTCCTCCGCCGCCTCCTCCTCCTCTATCTCATCCTCCTCCTCCTCCGATCCTCCTCCTGACCATCCCTCCCCTCCCCCTCCAGCAGGAGGAGGAGGGAGTGAAGGCAATACGAACACTGGCAATACTCGCGTAGAGTCTATGTCATG